TATTCCATGCCAATAATTAACAACTCTTCAAAGAACGCTTTCACTGGCTTATCGCTGATTAAATGACTAAAATACTTGCGACAATTGTAGAGGCGCTACTTTATTTAGGCGTGGAATTGATTTACCCCACCCCACCCCAAAGCGAAGCCCAACTTAGCTAGATTTATCTATATACCAAGGCATCTAGTCCATATTCATTTTTGCAGAAGTGATTTGCGAACTGAATGAAATTGTTTTGCGAGGCGAGACAAACGCCATTGTTGTTAATAACTCCAGCTAGCCAAACTGTTTAAACTAAAGCAGGTCATGGCATATGGAGTACTTTGTGCATGCTGGAAACTGGAGTTCATTTCAAGCACTTTCGATATTGGATTCGCAACAAGCTTCATTGCTTTCATAGCAATGGAAATATTGTCATGGACATGGACTCTGTTTCTGCTGATATGTGCCTTTGTCGTGTGTGTGTTTTGGGTCTGGTTTGGTTTTGGCTTTGGTTCCTCTGGCGACAGCAAGGCGGTGCTCGTCATTAAGGCAAGTGCTCCTAATGGCCCATCATATTTACCTTGTTGAGTGTGCAATTTGTACAAACAAATTGACGGGCAGATGACAGGACACAGGACAGCTAAATTGCTCGAGAGGAGACTATAAAAAGCGCAGCCCGAATCTGTCGTTAAGTCAATAACAAAATGCAGCTGTTGCAATTGGCCAACTTTGTGCTGCAGAATTTGCTGCAGTCGCGCATAAGCTTCATCATTTTCTTTCACTGCTGGGCAAATAATGAGAGTGGGCTGCAATTTGTTAATACAATTTAAATTTATTTAAATTTAATTTAATATACAAATTTCTTTACTCTTTGCAGCCTTACAGTTCGCACAACAAATCCAACAACCTCATCAGCAGCTCATCTACTATCAGTTTGCCCATTTGAGAGACTGGAACTGGGAGCACCTGGAGCAACGTTATTTGGATCACGCCCAGCCCACGCTGGCCATTTACGTGGACTTGAGGTGCATGCGAAGCAGAAGTCTCTTGGCAGAGGTGGTGAGCCTAACTTTTCGGCATAAGAAATGCATAAATGTTTCGTTTTTTATCGCAGGCCAGTCGAGCTCGACTCTACAATCAGCACTACCATTGGGTGCTGCACGACAGCTCGGAGGCTTTCAGCTTTTACGATTTCTTCAGGCGCTCAAACATATCCATAGATGCTGACGTGGACTATGTGAAGCAGCATATTCCAAACAGTGGAGATAAGGATGCTGTTGTCTACACGGTATATGATGTCTACAGCAATGGCAATCACATTGGCGGGCAGCTTAATATGACAGTGAACTATGAGCTCAGCTGCAATCGGAGCAGCTGCGATGGCATTCGCTATCTGAGCTCATTGCATTTGCGCTCCAAGTACGGCAATCGGGAGCAGCTGACGGATGTGGTGCTGCGCGTGGCTACGGTGGTGACACAGCGACCCATTACCTGGCCGCCGGAGCAGCTGCTGCAGTTCCTCAACCAAATCAACGACACACACATAGATGGTATAGCGCGCTTTGGCTTTCAGCTGAGTCTGATACTCAAGGATCTGCTGCAGTGCGGGTAAGTGTTCCGTTTTCCGTTTATATGGAATTACGAATTTCTATTCTCTTAGCATGAATTTCACGTTCAAGGATCGTTGGAGCTACGGCGACTACAATGGCGGCTCTGTGGGCGCTGTGGTCGATGAAACAGCCGACATTGGCTCGGCGCCCTGCCTGGCCACGCCGGGCAGACTCCATCTCCTGTCGGCCATCATTGAGACGGGCTACTTTCGCTCGATTTGCCTGTTCCGCACGCCTCACAACGCCGGCATCCGGGGCGACGTCTTTCTGCAGCCCTTCAGCGCCCTGGTTTGGTTCCTCTTTGCCGGCATCCTGCTGCTGATCGCTCTAATGCTCTGGCTCGCCTTCTACATGGAGTCCAAGCGCATGCATCGTAGCTGGCGCTTGGAGTTTGTGCCTTCTCTGCTGAGCACCTGCCTGATTAGCTTCGGTGCTGCGTGCAGCCAAAGCTCGGCCCTAACGCCGCGCTCCACGGGCGGACGTTTGGCCTACTTTGCACTGTTTCTGATTAGCTTTATAATGTACAACTATTATACGTCTGTGGTGGTCTCCTCGCTGCTGAGCTCACCGGTCAAATCGAAGATCCAGACGGTGCAACAGCTGGCTGAGAGCTCGCTAACCGTTGGACTTGAGCCGCTGTCATTTACGAAGAGTTATCTCAATGTGAGTATGATATATACATATACTAAATTGGCTAATTTAACTCCATTCTCCAAAGTACACTCAACGTCCGGAGATTCATTTGCTTCGCAAGCGCAAAATCGAGCCACAGTCCCACAATCCCGAGCTCTGGCTGCCCGCGGAGCAGGGCATTCTACGTGTGCGCGACAGACCCGGCTATGTGTTTATCTTCGAGGCCTCCTCGGGCTACGAGTATGTGGAGCGTTACTATACCCAGCAGGAGATTTGCGATCTCAATGAGATTCTGTTTCGACCCGAACTGCGGCTCTACACCCACCTGCATCGCAACTCCAGCTACAAGGAACTCGTGCGCTTAAGGTAAATTATAAGTAAATGCATTTATATATATAATATATTATTATATAGATTGCTGCGCGTTTTGGAGACTGGCATCTATCGCAAACATCGCACTTGGTGGGCCCGCATGAGGCTGCACTGCTACTCGCAGAACTTTGTCATTACCGTGGGCATGGAGTATGTGGCACCGCTCTTCTTCATGCTGCTCTGTGGCTACCTCTTGGTGCTGCTGCTGCTGCTGCTCGAACTAGCCTGGCAGCGTTACGCGCAGCGCTCAGATTAAGCTTTAAAAGCTCACCTTGCACCTCTCACGAATGTAAAACGCTTTAAGCTGTTATGCAAAATAATAGTGAAAATAAAAATAAAATAAAAAGTGTAGGTGAAACACTTTCCGTTAACTTTTCGCCTCATCCAACGGCTGTGGAATTATGCAGCAATGCAACGACCCGTTGTCTCCTCGCTTCCTGTTGTCGTAGACCCGTGCAATTGCCGCACGCCTCGTTGACCGGACCACGTTTCTGTGTTTGCATGCGATTTTCGTATTTGCATTAAAAAGTTTCTTGTGTGGCCAATGACTTTTTTTCAGCCACATTCTATTCCATTTGCATTTGCACCACGGCCCGCTGCTGCTGCAAAAAAGTCCATTGTTAACTGTTTGTGCGTGTGGCCGGAGATAAACATAAGCCTGAGGCATTAAATAGTTATCTGAATTCGGCAGCAATGCCTGCCTCTTAAAGAGAGAATCTATCCGGAGGGCATCTATCATCTCATCACTGATTGCTGTGCTGCAGCGTAATCAATCATCTGCTACATTTATTTCGATTGTGTCATCTGATTTATGTCGACTTTGATGTTTATGACCTGCGGACTCTGCTTGACACAATTTATTCTGCGGCATTATCAAAAAAGCTGCGTGGCAAATCGCTGGTTAGCCACAAAAACATTGCCAGCAATTAATAATAATTATGGCATTTGGTATATGAATAGAAACGGCTAAAATTTGATTTTTTAAACATAAAAGTTGGCTAAATGAACTGGAAAATATTCAATAAATGAAGTTAACGTTTATCATTACTTTGCACTGCCTCGGGACCTTTTCTGTATGACAAATTACTGCCATGCTGACAAATTGCCATCTCAATCTTGTTGTCAACAGGCTGTTTAAGTTGTCCTCAATCCCTTGGGGAGCTTGTAATACAATTCAGCCATTCACTGCACATCACATTCAACGATAAATTGACAGACAATTTTAAATTATTTACAACACTTACGTTACTCGCTTATCCGCTGTGCAAGCGAAAGTTCTGCTCGTATTACAAACCCCAGCAACAGCCCCCCCGAAGCAGCTCATAGAATTCCCACCGCATGTTGCATTCGATAGAACAGTTTGTCAATAACATGTTTCCCGTTTTTTTTCCCCCTCTCTCTCTATTACTCTTATTCGCATTGCTTTTTCCACTTCACTTTCGCTTGTCGCTGCATTTACCACTATACATTTGTAATTTGCTTTAAAGCTGAAGAAGTTATATGTTGCAGTTGAAATATAACAGAAAACTTGATCTGTTTTTATTCTGCTATAATAATTCTTTGCAATTGTACCGTTATTTGTCGTATATGTTAAAGCTGAGCAAGTGTTTTGTATGTGTTAATGCCAGCTTCCATTAACAGGAAATGCTGCTGGCCCCCATTATCATGCTATGCTATTAACAGCATTATGTTAATAACATAACATACTAAGCGGTCCGCTACAAAGCTCACTGGCTACATGCATTATACGGAAGAACACAGCTTCTCTCAAGAAAATAAATAATAAGAATTTACGACTGCTCAATCTTTTATTTATTAAGTAGTTAGAGTGGCATATAAAGAAAAATTTTGGTCAGCATTTAACCAAATATTCATAATTAAGCACACGTTTCTTTACAGAAATTCTATTTCAAAATGTCTCCAAAGTTGCTTACAGTTGTACCAGCACAGGGTAGCTTGCAGTCAATCACTATCTAATACATACATACATAATATACATACATATATGTATGTATTACATATATATTTTTAGTTACATACTTTGCGGCTGCGATGTTAAATTGTTTCCCGTGGTTTTGTGTACGTGCTGAACAAGCGCGCAAATGATTTCATTTCAAATCGCATTTGACAATTTAAACTTCTAAATATATTTCTAGCCCATATATATGCTCATATCTACTAGTCGTATATATGGTACGCCTTGCTTAGTAATTGAAATTCGCATAGGCTGTTGCCAAACGTTGTCTCGACTGATATCTTAAGATTTATATAGCTCGTGCCCTGTGTACACCTTATCGGACTGTTATTGCCTGCAACCGCGTCTTAATCTATGTCCGTGTATTACTCTGATAAAGCTAATGATAATTGTGTCAATTGGCACTCAAGTATTTAACTTGAATTTGCCACATTCAGTTGGCTAACGTCGTTTGGACGCGTTTAATCGTAAAGTGCGAGGCTTGCCAGTGATTAAAGGGTAATATAAACTGTACTCTACTTGCAAAATATATATGTATTGTATTCCTGTAATAAAATCAGCATAACATTAATGAACAGAATTAACGTAAATCTGCTGAAGAATTCCAGTTTATTTGAATACAATGTAAATGCTTAAAATAAACGTCTCACTTTATGCATATTTTTACGTTGCCTGTGCTTAGATCATATTGCGTATACGCGACGTTAGACTGGCTTAAAATAATATTAACAAAACCAGTACAAATGAGAAGAACGTGTTGACTGCATGCCAAAAATAAGGCATATACTTTTACTATATAAACATATATACAAGTATGACTGTAAAGAGCTCATTATAAATTCATAAAATAACTTAAAAAACCAGCTGCAATATAAAAACGAAAACCAACAACAACATTTGACATTGCTGAGCGTCTGTTTGAACTCGCTTCTGTGCTGCGTGCCCCTTTAAAGGTGTTCGCAACTCTATTTAGCTCGCCTCGCGCTGTTCATTCATAGCTCAATGTATTTAAAATAAAACTTAGAGAATCATTTCTTATATATACATGTACATATATGCATATATAGTTATGTATATATAGCTAGCTAACTGCCTGATCGACACTTTGGCACTTCTTGCTGCTGTCGCTTTACTTTGACTTTTTATGCTGCCGCTCACAACTCGCGTGACCGCTTGGGGTCTTTGCCGTTCAACGCAGTCGCCGCTGGCGTTGCTGCTGCCGCTGCTGCCGCCGCTGCAATCGCTGTCAATAAGCGAAACATCGCTGTGGGTTTGCTCATTAAGTGGGCGGTTCACTCAGATTCAGTCGCTCGTGAAACGTTAAAACGCGCGAAACGGGTCGTCGCCTCGACTACGTTATCTCGAATTCTTCAAAAACAATTCCTCACGTTTCGAAAGCAGACATAAGTATACGACCGTTAATAAACAATTTGTCGCAGCAAATATCGTAAAGCATAAGGTGCTGCGGAGGGTGTAAAAAATAAACGGGTAAAAAATATTGAGAACAAATATAATAATTAAAAAAAAAAAAAATATTTTGAAAAAACAGGAATACAAAATA